TTTTTTTGGGGGGGGGGGGGGGGTTGTGAGTTTGGTAGACAATTGCTTGGGTTACAGCTTCTGACTGGAATTGGAGCAAGAACACATACCTACTTCTCAAAATGAGTTTTCTCCTTATGTTGAAGGTCTCTGTTCCCTTCAAGTTAATAAAACGAAGTCAAATGCCACATAAGTTTATAAAGTACTTTTTAAATTTGCATTCCAGATGTTATGTTGGGGGAGGAGGGAAGTTACCTCAAGTCATTGGGCCAAGTTGTGTATTTCTTATTCCTTATTTTAAGTAGTGAAGTCAGAGGGAGGATTGCCTGAGTGAGAGTAGTGGGTTTTTTGCTTGTGATGAGGATCTGGCTTGTAAATGAATCACAAGGAGTACCTCTTCTGGAAATCTGGCTTTTTCAGTAGTTACATCTCTAATGGTTACTGTATCTTTCTTTTGTGGTGGTAAATAAAACCACACAAATACAAAACAAGTACTTTCATTTCAGCAAATTATAAAAAAGGAGGTTCTATTACAAGCTAAATTTGACTCGAATGGAATTTTCATTTAATGCACATTTCAACTGTTAGGAGTCCCAAAGAGGTAAAATGCCAAAATATTTGTTTATGGGGGGAGGGGGAAGATAATCTGTTACAAAACTAACAAGGATCAGAAATAGCATTAAAGCTGTTTACCTGAAGAACCATAAATCTGTATTTTTTTGGGATATGCTTCCACCAAAATACTATTTATCCTAATGCTTGGATATGAAAAATCATTCATATTTTGTGCAGTTGAAAATAAAATTCTGTTGGTTTTTTTTTTTTTTATATTTGCAAAATTTGCGAGCTGCTTTGACTTCTATGCAACTTGTGGGTACTCAAATTTAGTTAAAGTTGCAAAAGCATTTTATTAAAACATTTCAGAAGATATTTATTAAAATTTTAGTGCATCAGAGATATACATTGAACTTGGAGAAAACTACATCAAAACTATTAAACTCTACTCCATAAAGATTCTGTAATAAAATTAAAGGACTTAGTATATTCTGTGACAAATACTAAGGAAAAATGTGATGGAAACAAATTTGCAAACTTCCAAAATTTTACTTGCGTGTGTCTTGATCTTTCTTTCTGTCTGCATAACATCCAAAAAACCTAACGTAAAAATAACTATCTTGAAAATGAGTTTCACCTCACACAGATGTTTTAAATTCAGTTTGTGCAAGTGTCCTGCTGACATTGGTGGAGAAGTCACGAAATGGGATTAAGAATTATTTGATCACTCATTTATAGCAGTTGTTTAAATGTCTGTATTGATAAGAAGGTGTTTGACTTAAAAAAACAAAAAAAACCCCCAAAAAAACAAAAAACAAAAACGAAAAAACAAAAAAGCGTCAGATTTCTAGTTATTCCAAAACTTCTTGAGCAAGATTTCTAAAGCTGTCATGTTCCATAGGCTTAGTTTCTTCTCAACAAGGTCAATTTAATTCTCAAATTTAATTTGCCAAATCATTAGAGCTAAATGTCTAATTTTTCCAGTTAATATATCTGTTAAACAACAGTCTGTGTCTTAATATTGTATAAAGGATGATCTCAATCTTTAGGTAGCTGAACTGTCTTTAAAAATTTTCAAATTTTCAGAGAACTAAAAGATCTATATAAATGTGATTCTTGATGGTTCTTTTTCAACTAGTTAGATTTTGTCTTCTGTATTAGCATATTAAGCCCATTTGTTGAATTTTTTTGTTTGTTTCAGAAAATACAAATCTTACTAGCAGCAAAACCAATGCAAATATTGGGTGGGACTATTGTATTTTTTTTATAAGTGTACAGAATTACTTGGCACCAAATCATGTAGTTGTAGTACAAGCAAAATTTATTTCAACACAAATTGCTTGGCTAAGCACTACAAGATTGGGTTCCTGATCTTATATGATGGACCAAATCTTGCAAATCTTGTGAATGAAGCTTACTCACCTGTTGATTTAAGTGAGACTTTTGTGTAAAAATTATTAGCATGATTTAGGTTTGCAAGATTGGGTTCTGTGTCATTTGTGAATTGTTTGTGAGTAGCCATGAGCCTTCTAGAGGGAGAGTCCCAGGTTGTATGTTCCTGCTTTGCTAAAATGAGCTTCTGTTAACTTAGGACTCATTTGAAGCTGCTTTGTGTGTGATGAATTGGCTCTCGTAATTTGTATTATACAGTAAAGAATGGCAACTTTAAGTATATTAATTTACTGACTAAAATCTGTGGAGTAGAAAAAAGTCTTTTAAGGGAAAATGTGAAATCTGTAATCTTTTCCCTAAACACTCAACAGCTGAGATGCATCTTTCAAATGCTTAATATTTGCCAGGAACTTCTGAAACTTTAAAGTAGCAGAATTCCTCTGGACAAATGTTTTAACATCTTGTTTGGAGGTTACCAGAAGCTCTGAGTATCAGTTCAGAATATGTTGCATCATATTTTCTGATGTTGTCCAGAAACCTGCAAGTGTGTTCCTTTTTTTTAACTCCTTCCTTTTACCTGACTATCAGGGAAGCGTGGTTGAGGCTGCCCTGACCTGACATGTCATGATGTCGACTTGCTAGGTGGGGTTCGCAGGGATCATTTACCTTGGAGTTGTCGGTAAGAGAACTTTATTTCTAATTCTTCTTCAGTAAGATGAAAGGGCTTTTGGGGGCGGAGGGAGGAGTCAATCCTCAAACCCTATCTCAGTGGTAGGGATCATACGAATCTTTTTGAAAAATTCACCATTACCTATGGAGACTCTCCAAACATATTGAAGGTAATACTTGAATTTAAACCCATCTGATCTATGTTCAAAAGCAGTACGATTTAACTTCAACATCTGAAATAAGCTAAATGCTCTTTGGTTTCCAAAGGCAAAATGAATCTTTAAAAAAAAAAAAA